TCACCAGGTTTCGCGTACTGATGAATTCTAAAAAAGCGACGAAAGAGGGCTCAAAAAGTCAGAAGACTATATATGAAGCCAATCAGAGTTGTCTTAAATTTTATTTGAATATCATTTTGGCCACAAATGTACGTTTTATTTGATCGTTTCTAACAATATTGATTTTCATCCCAACTGCATTTATTTTAATTTTAAAATGATATCTACAATTCTCTCGGTCTTCGGTTGTTCATATTTTAGCACGCCAGGGTTCCAAGTAAAATAACCATTTATTTCATATTCATTGAGTTAGTTTGGCTGTGGCTAACAGAGATCTCTGCTATAGCAGACGGACGACGCGCGTCGTCCGTCCAAATGGTCAACGCCAAGCGGTCCCGATATTTAACGATTATAAACCCTTATTTTCAGATAATATTTGGTTCCATGCCTTCATAAGAACGCCAGTAAGGCTCCGCAGACATCGGACCTTGGTCCTTTCATCCGCATTGCTTCCTGTACATTAAGTGCCCCACCATATTCTCAAAATGACTGGCCAAGTTATCTTTGTTTGGACATTTTAAACGTTAAAGCCGTCGTCGGAATGCGGTTTATCTCTCAGTTGAGTTTTTTATTTGTGAACGTTGTCTGGGTCATCGATACGCTGACTAACATATGTCTACTTTTGGTTGAAACTCGGTTACAACTTTCATGTAGTTGTACCCATCTTCGCGTTTCAGCGGTGCTGTTTACTTTTTCTTACTAAGTTACGCCCTCGAGGGCTGTGCTCACACTCTGTATTCGCTCATCATCGCTACATCTTATGAACGTCGTAGCCTATTGGCCAGGCATCAGGCGACGTTATTCCAGTCGGCTACAGAAAACATGATCACAACAGTACCGAGGAAGTACAAATTCCGTTAGAGGACTGTAACCTAATAGCCCTGATATGTAGACACAAAGGGCTTGTAGTTCAGCTGGCTTTGCGCAATTAGTTCAAGAGACCTCGTCAAAAAATATTACCTCCCACGCGCATATATGAGAAAGGATTATATTTCCATACCCTTTGCAGTATATCCTAATTCTGCTGTTATGTTCTGATCCACATTGCGATGAACTGAATACAGGGCCACTGCTTTCTTTTAACTCCTCATGCCATACTTTATTGACCCTTTTCGCTCATCTTCATCCAGGTCGTTTTCTTCATTGTTACGGCTGCATTCTTTTGGGAGAAGTTCACTTTGCGATATATCGTCCTGTCAGGCTTCTGCGCCACCGCGAGCTTGGCTGCGTACAAATTTATGTCGTACATGTCAACACCGACTTTTGAGCAGAACGACCGGGGAGTTAATCAGCTCGTCGATGCTGGTCTTGATTTGAACATTACATCAGGCGGGATTGCTGAGTAAGTCCAGTTTGTGGTTACACCCAACGTTTTGCTACAAAATTTGCTTCTTGAACCTCCATTTGTGTTTGTGCTTTCACTGTCCATTTATTTTATGAATACTGCGGATGGCCTTAAGTTATCTTCAATGTTGCAAAAAGTTTGTAGTCCAGACCCCTACCAAAACCCTAACGTACAGTAAAAATAAGCCGAAAATGGGTCAGCGCTATTGACAACTCTACCCATCAAGGAGAGGTGTCTAATGACCACTCTGTTCCTTTGGAAATAGAACTAGCGGTATATCTCCAGCTTTCTGACTTGATAATATTGCCGTAGAAGACGTTTGAAC